AAGTTTAAGCTGAATATGGGGGTAGTATTTTTGGTAAAAGTTAAGGGGAATGAGAATAAAAATACAGCGTTGAAATTGTTGACTTCAACATTTTAGACAGTGGACTAATTATTATACAGTGGCCTGAGAGTGTACACCCATGCAGAGGAAAACTTCATTGAGAAAAAAGAAATTGGTTGCAAAGTAATTACATTTTCTAATCATGAAATCCCTCCGAAACCTGTGAGGCTAGTTTGAAAAACCTCTCTAACCCTTTATTCCTCTCTCCCCGTTACACTCACTCACACACACATAGGGTTTCAATATCACGGCTCATGTGTTGCAGTATACATTGCAGGGGATGGAGTTGACAGCTTCTTCCCATGAAAGCAACCACGCATGGCATATTTGCCTAGGGAAATCAGCGCTGGTCCAATCAATTTAGACGTCCGCTTGTGTGTGTGTGTGTGTGTGTGTGTGTGTGTGTGTGTGTGTGTGTGTGTGTGTGTGTGTGTGTGTGTGTGTGTGTGTGTGTGTGTGTTGTCGGCAGCCCAAACCTTTACTGCCACAGCTGCACTGGGTGCTATGAGCTCATTAAATCAACAGCTCTAATGATCTCAATCGGCGCCTGATGCAGTCAGACTGACTCGATACCTGCAGAGGAAGTACAGGAAAGCGGGAGAGAGCGAAAATGATGGAAAGGTTATTGAGTAAGAGACAAAAGGAGGAAGAGCGAAAGTCAATAAAAGGTGCAAGTATGAATTCTCACCCAACAAAACTAGTGCCCATTCACAACATCTCGAGTAAGCAGGAAAAAAAATCATTCACCGGAACATGACTCCTAGTCAAATCACAAGGAACATTCACACTTGCTCGCCAGTGAAACCTCAAAGCTTGTCTTCTTCTGTTGCACACATCTCTCTGCTTCGATGATATGGCAGAACTGTTTACAGCAACACTCAAAACAGCATTCCCCCTCCAGGTGTCATGCGGTTTGGATTGAGTTATGATTCAGTAGTGAGGCTGAGAGTGGTCTGATGTTAGGCTGCTGGAGATTAGCAGAGCAGACAAGTGTGAGTAATACTCAACCCAGTCTCACGGCATTTCGTGTTATAGTCAAGACATTTAATCTATTGATTTGAGTTCACCAACACGAGTTTCCCCTTTTTTTCGTGTCACATAGAACGTCTTTTTGTCCGGTCGGGTCTTGGAAGACCAGAAGCTGTGTGGTTCATAGAAACATTTTCTTACTCAATATCAAGCCAAGATTATTGTTTTTATCGTATAATGTCGGACTTTTTTTGCCGTCTGCGAGGAAATTAAATGGGCCTCAGAATACTGAAAACTGTATTTTTTTAAATCTTTTTTTCCTTCTAATTTTTTTTTCTTTTTCTAAATAATACACTGTTATTTACTTAAGCAATAGCTCACGACAGGCCGTGGTATATGCTCATTATATCACAGCTAAGGGGCGTGGTTCGGCCGACGCCGAAGCGGAGTGTCGGACAACCCTAAGCACCCCTAAGCTTGAATGGTGGTACTTTTCCAGTTGGTCTATCCTGCTCTTCACGTAGCTCTCATGTCCGTCGTTTAGGTGCTTTTCTGGAGATTAGGCAACTGCTCAATCCACTCACTCATAGTAAGACCCCCCCCGTGGGTCGACAATTTAATCTTAAATGTTTCCATCTATGCTTTGCTAAAAAAAATCGTAACGTAGCATGCAGCTGGCCGTCCGTTGTTTCCCAGTCACTGCTTGATGTACGGTGACAGGCGGTGATGTCGTGGTCAGTGTGGTGGTGCCACCATTTCAACTGTGGGAACCCCCTGAAAGGCCAGCGTGTTCCTCCCCCAAGGTCTAGTCACACAGCGTGCAACCCCCGCCCAGAAAGTCATAGTCCTAATTGAGGATCCTTGTACGTGCCGAACCCACCACCTTACAGACACTGACAGCCCCCCACCTGTTACCACCACCCCGTTCCCAAGCATAGGGTCTAGACTCACCGGTTACTGTTCGCAGTTTCCACCCCCAGAGTGGGTGTCAATCCGTGTCCCCGCTGGGACCACGGTCCGGTCTCACAGTGTCGCTGTGGAGCCGGTGTCAACAAGGGCCGGTCCAGGGGCCCCTGCCAGGGA